AAAACTAACGGCATTGCTTACACTGATAACAAAAATTACTTTGTTTCAACTTTGACTTTACAACCATTAGTGACTCAAATATCAACTTGTACTCCTTTCATTCCCTACACATTTTGCTTTACTTATCAAGTATGATTAAGCTGACTTCCTTAGTTTTTCATAAATTTAGTAAAAAACTAACGGCATTGCTTACACTGATACCAAAAATTACTTTGATTCAACTTTGACTTTACAACCATTACTGACTAAAATATCAACTTGTACTCCTTTCATTCCCTACACATTTTCCTTTACTGATCAAGTATGATTAAGCTGACTTTCTTAGTTTTTCATAAATTTAGTAAAAAAACTAACGGCATTGCTTACACTGATAACAAAATTTTCTTTGTTTCAACTTTGACTTTACAACCATTAGTGACTCAAATATCAACTTCTACTCCTTTCATTCCCTACACATTTTGCTTTACTTATCAAGTATGATTAAGCTGACTTTCTTAGTTTTCATAAATTTAGTAAAAAACTAACGGCATTGCTTACACTGATAACAAAAATTACTTTGTTTCAACTTTGACTTTACACACTAATGGTAACTTGTACTCCTTTCATTTCCTACACTTTTTGCTTTACTTATCAAGTATGATTAAGCTGACTTTCTTAGTTTTTCATAAATTTAGTAAAAACTAACGGCATTGCTTACACTGATAACAAAAATTACTTTGTTTCAACTTTGAACTTATGTTATTAGTAATCCAATAGTGACTCAAATATCAATTGAAACTATATTAGTAAGCTATCGATTACAGTTTTTGAGTTACACGCTAAAAACTATTCGATAACCAAAATTACTTAAGTTCAATTTTAATGTAACGTTATTAGAAAACAACGATCACAAAGATCCACATATACTTATTTTATTCCCTATAGTTTTAGCTTTAATTACCAAGCTTAATGATTTGGTTGACTTTCGAAATATCTGAGAAATTCGCTAAAATTTAAAGAATTTACAATATTTCAAATTTGTTTCATTAGTTTATTAAGTATAATTATGTTTTAAAAATATCAATGTCTGCAAATCAAACTGCCACAAAGTTAATAAGATTCGTACTCATCGTCATGCGATTACTATATAAAAAAAAAGAGAAAGAGGAAATAATAACCGTAACAATAATAGTAATTCCGCGTCGCACGACGACCACGATTACGTAACTTTCTCGCTCCGCTCCGGTCCCTCCACTTGATGTCACTTCTATTATTGTTACCGCTTCTTCTTGTTTTGTTTTTTTTTTCATTTCTCTTTTGTTTTTTTTTTGTTTATTTCATTACTACAATTTTCGTTTTTCGTTTTCATTCGTTCCTCTTTTGTTTCTCGCAGCGTGTGCGTGTATGTATAGATGCATGCATTTCTGCACCAAAGCCCACTTCAATCCGCGTATTTTTAAACGCCCTTCCCCTTTTCGCAGACAGGAAACGCGGTGGGCTCTGCCAAAAAAGAAACAACAGAACGACCGCAATGTCGCACCATGCAATTATCTGTCAAAAAAAATGTTTAAATAAATTCATGCTATCCGTACTTGATCTGGCAATTACATAATCGCATCCTTTTGACACCTGTCAAATTTACCGCTCAATTTCAAAATGTTCTGTTTTTCATATGTTTTCTTTCATTTGTGCCCAACAAGTATCAATTACGTAAGTCCAGATTACGATACGAATATAGGTTACGATTGTATTGTGTTTTCGCTCTTGTTTTCCCCTATTATTATTACAATTTAATATTTTTTTTAAAATAATACAACTGCGGATGAAAAATGCATTTGATTATGTTTAGAAATACCGAGAAAATACGGGTTTATCTTCTACAAATATTAAAAATACTCTCACAATCTGTTCCCCTATTAAACGAGCTTTTTGTTTACAATGAAACACTCGAAACTACTTAAATAGCGATAGT